GAGGTTGGAGCAGGGACAGCAGCCGGGTGTGCCATCATTTCCCGCATGATGGCACACATGTTGTTGCCCTGCCGTACAAGCTGGTTCCACATGCGACTCCGCCACTCAGCATCCTCCTGGACCTTCTGCGCCAGGGTCTGCTGCATGTCATGCAGGACGCCCACATGCTGCCTCAAGGGGTCTTCATGGATCCTCATGCGCTTTCAGCTCCCCCAGAGTTGGGCAGCTGCCTCGGCTAGTGTGGATCACCCCTCAGCGAGAGTTGGTCCAGCTGTGGAGAATAAAGAGGGAGAGGCGGTCAGTCATCCATGCACACACTGTCCCTGAGGCTGTGCCCTCTTTTGAGCAGTGACCAACAGTCGTCAGCCCAGAGGATGCAGATGTCCCGGGAGCAAGGCCATATGTGGCCTGCATAGCAGGCTCAGCCTCACAGGGGCCCCGAGGTGCCCAGGGGACCATGCTTCCCGCTCCCCTCTCCCCCACGGACAAGCAGGCAAGGTAAGTGTCTGGCCACAGTGGGATCCCATGGGCAGGAGAGGTGCCTAGAGCAGCCTGGTCCTCTACAGGGTTGACACACACCTGTGCCTGGAAGCGCTGTCCACGGGAGTGGGTGGTGCCTCACGCGGGAAGACACGCCTGTGTGCTCTGTGCAGCACTCCTCAGTCTGTCTGGGGTTGTTCGTGTACTCTTGTGCCCAGCCTACTTCCAGCAGTGGCAGGTGGTGGGAGAGCGTCGCCCCGCAGGGGTCAGACGTGTGTGTGGCCTCCTGAGCCTGTGAGCAGGATCTGGGGGCTGCTCAGGGGCTGCCTCCTGAGGTTGCGTGGCACAGACTGGCACTGCACATGCTTCCACATGCACCGACTGCAGCATGATGTCCAGGCTGAGAAGGCCAAATGACAACCGCACCCCATCCCCTCTGCTCCGCCTCCCCTGCCCTTTGTGTGAAAACTGAGAGCACTCACCTGATGATTCATCCCCACCGTCCGACCAGGGGTCAGACGTGTGTGTGGCCTCCTGAGCCTGTGAGCAGGATCTGGGGGCTGCTCAGGGGCTGCCTCCTGAGGTTGCGTGGCACAGACTGGCACTGCACATGCTTCCACATGCACC